CCAGGCGGGTCTCGAACCCGCGGGCTCAGGCAATCACTCACCTCAGCCTCCCAAAGGCGCGGGATTACAGGCTGAGCCACTGAGCCCGGCTTGGTCTCAAACTCTTAGGCTCAAGTAGTTCTCCTGCCTAGGCCTCCCAAGGTGCTGGGATTACAGGCAGGAGCCACTATACCTGGCTGTTTGTGTGATATTTTTGAGTTTTTTCTTGTTTGGGGTTACTGGACTAGTCACAAGCGTTTTCCTTTTTTGTTTCTTTCTAACAGAATCATTTAGTAAGTGTTTAATGAGGGGTGTGTCGGCAGATGCGTACACACATGTTGAGTCATGAGGTAAATGCATTTTACTTTATCATACATTGCTCCCCATAAGGGTGGAAAGCAGAAATATGTGGGGGGCACACCCTAAAAAGCTGGAATTGTCTTTTGTAGGACGGTCTCTGTGTAGTACAGGATTTCCCCTCTAGGTAAGTATTCTAGGAACCCATCAGCATCAGTGTACCTGATAGCGTTGTTGTGAGAGGCTGTGTTTGACTTCAGTGAGTTTTTTTGGTGATTCAGTGCATTTGCCCATTTCATGATGAGTGGTATACGAGTACACCTGCCCATACTGTGCTGAGTGTTTTTGATAAAAAGAAAGTGGTATGGCCCCCATGCCCCCCTTCCTGTTCACCAGTCTTCCCCGGAGACACAATGTTTTGCCCATGTGGAAGAGGTGAAGCAAAAAAAACGGCAGAAGCACTGAAAGACATCAAAATTGATGACTTCAAAAACTGTTTTGAGCAATGGAAAACATGTCCTAATAGGTGTATCCTGTCAAATGGAGTACTTTGAAGCTGACTAAAATATAAACATGTAAGAATAAATGCAGAGTTTTTAGTAAGTTCTGTTTTTTTCGGTCCCCTACTTTTATAGTACAAATTTGCATTTTTTTTTTTTTTTTTGAGTTGGAGTCTCACTCTGTCGCCCAGACTGGAGTGCGTTGGCCGCTCCTGGCCACCGCAGCCTCGACCTGCTGGGCTCCGGCGATCCTTCCGCCTCAGCCTTCCAAGTAGGTGGAACTACAGGCACGTGCTACCATGCCCGGCTGATTGTTTGATTTATTGTTGAGATGAGGTCTCACTGCCCAGGCGGGTCTCGAACTCGCGGGCTCAGGCAGTCCACTCGCCTCAGCCTCCTAAAGGCGCAGGATTATAGGCTGAGCCACCAAGCCCGGCTAAATGTGCATTTTTTTTTAAAGTAGGAGTCTCACTCTGTTTACCAGGCTGGAGGGCAGTGGCACACTGCTCTTGGCCACCGCAGCCACAACCTACTGGGCCCAGGCGATCCTTCTGCCTCAACCTTCTAAGTAGCCAGAACTACTGGCATGTGTCACCATGCCTGGCTAATTTTTTGATTTATTGTAGATACGAGGTCTCATCAAATTGAGCAGGCTGATCTTGAACCCCTGGACTTAGGCAGTTCTTTTGCCTTAGCCTCCCAAAGTGCTGGGATTACAGGCATGAGCCATTGCACCCGGCTCAAGTATGCATCTTATTTTGAGAAATGAAATAACTATGGTGGGACATTATCTAACTTCGACTTTGTTCAGCCTCAGCAAGTAGACCTTAGGAAGGTTATGGTTTCATTTATTTATTTATTTTAAGAAATCAAAAAAATTTATTTAGAGTTTCACTCTGTCGCCCAGGCAGGAATGCAGTGGCACAATCATGGTTCACCACAACCTCAAACTTGTGGGCTTAAGTAATCCTAAGTAGCCTTCTGAGTAGCTGGGACTACAGGCACATGTCACCACACCCGTCTAATTTTTTTTTCTTTAATTGTATATGCGAGGTCTTAATTATGTTGCCCAGGCTGGTCTTAAACTTCTGGGCTCAAATTATCTTCCCGTATCAGCCTCCCAAAGTGCTGGGATAAGAGGCCACCGCGCTTGACTGTATTATATGATTTCTTTTAGATTAGAAAATATAGTTTATTTAGAAAGAGAGAGAGAGATTGATTCACCCCACACCCCCAAGGTAGGGGAAGGCACCAAAGCTTAGGAAACGTGGCCTGGCCATAGCTCAGTGAACACATGACCTGGCCAGGGTTTAACAAAAGCAATGGCCTATGTGATTTCTTGATCATTAGTTTAATAAGATGATTTAGCCAGTCAAATTTAAGTTACTAAATTGGTTAGGAAATGTAATATTTGAAACAACATATGTGTAATTCTGGTTGTGGACCCAGAGGCTTTATCTCCTATTATAGGTGGCAGAAAGCACCATGACCTTCATAACCCTAACCCTTGGGAAGTAACAAGAGAACCAAGTAACCCTCAGTAGCAAGTGGCTACAAGTTGTGAAACGAAGGTATAATCTGTAGTGATAATACCTAGTTAGTGTTGGCAGCAGGGCAATATTTTATTTGTTTGATAGGTGACTGGATGGGACTTGGAAGCCAGAGAGTGCAGTTACACTAATAACTCTGTGTTCAAAGACCATTCCTTTTTCTTTCCTGGGAGATGTGGGAGTGCTTTTGCTCCTCCCTAGTGACAGAATAATGGGACAGTAGCCTTTTGTTGTTCATGTGAAGGGCTGGGACAGTGTGTTTGTACTCAGAGACCCATGGTCTTGCTCAATGCCTGGTGCAGGAACTCAGTGAAGAAAGGGGATAACTGACTCTTGAGTGCAGTCTGTGTCTAGGAAAACATGACACAGAGAGCTTGTCAGCTAGTGGTCAAGTGATCTTTGAGTTTCTGCCTTAGAGTCACCTGTTGGTTTTGTTTTATTTAGTTTAGGCTATTATCAGGCTACATCAGATTTTTTTTTTTCTCCTATATCTAGAAGGGTCTTGGCATATCTCTAGGAGTCACTTCGCAGACAAGACACTCACCTGAAAGGCTAGTGATTAGGTAATGGACGTTCTCTATGTAGGCCAGTAGGTGCTCAGGTGATACTGTTCTTCCTGTTGCCTGGTTCTACCCCCATGACATACCCAACCTTGGGAGCCTTGTCATTGACCCCCTGTTTTCACTTGCAGGACCTGTTCCAGCACCCTTAAAATTAAAACATGGTGGATTACTATGAAGTTCTAGGCGTGCAGAGACATGCCTCACCCGAGGATATTAAAAAGGCGTAAGTAATTTTATTTTTGAAATAATACATCTGTGCACGTGTACACTGATAATTTGGTAGTATAACCTTTTCTGTTAAAAATGACTTAATGTAATATAATAATCTCTGAGTGGCATATAGTTTAATTTTAACTTCAGACAGCAATTACCAAATGAGTATTCACAGTCTAGGCTTGAGCTTAGCCCTTCGTTTCTCAGTCACTTGGCTTACTTTGTTACTTTGCTTTGGGACAGTAGATTCCGTATCTTCTTGAAGTATGTATAAAATCCGCTGAGGGGCCGGGTGTGGTGACTCAGGCTGTAATCCCATCACTTTGGGAGGCCAAGGCGAGAGGATTGCCTGAGCCTGGGAGTTCAAGATCAGCCTGGACAACTTGGCAAGACCTCGTCTCTATAACAAACCAAAAAATTAGCCAGGTGTGGTGGCTCGCGCCTGTAGTTCCAGCTGCTTGGATGGCTGAGGTGGAAGGATCGCCTGAGCCCAGCAGGTGGAGGCTGTGGTGACTGTGAGCGTGCCACTGCCCTCCAGTCTGGGCAACAGAGTGAGACTCCAACCAGAAGTTGCTTGCAGAGTAATTGTCAAGTCTCTGCCAAATTGCTGAGCCTAGTAAGAGCAGCCTACTGAGGAGAGACCAGGCTGGCCCAGATGCTGTTAGCTGTGTCATGGTATTTCTCAAACTGGGAGGGAGCCTGTGCCACATACTTTGCGTCACAGTCTCACTCTGTCGCCCAGACTGGAATACAGTGGCACACTCATGACCACCGTAGCCTCCACCTGCTGGGCTCACGCGATTCTTCTGCCTTAGCCTTCTAAGTAGCCGGATCTACAGGTGTGCACTACCACGGCCCGCTAATTTTTTTTTTTAATTGTAGAGATGAGGTCTTACCAAGTTGCCTAGGCTGGTCTCAAACCCCTGGGCTCAGGCAATCCTCTCACTTTAGCCTCCTAAAGTGCTTGGGATTATAGGACTGAGCCACTGCGCCCGGCTATGCCAGGTGTTTTAAAAGAACTGCCAGGTTTGTATTCTAGTCTGAGATTTTGAGGAGTACACAGTTTCCTTTTTTTTTTTTTTAAGTTATTCCCATTCTGTCTCTAGGTTAGAGTGCAGTAGCATGCTCACCGCCACTGCATCCTCAACCTGCTGGTTTCAGACAGTCCTTTCTCCCCAGCCTCCCGAGTAGCTGGAACTACAGGCTTGTGCCGCTATGCCTGGCTAATTTTTTTATTTTCTGTAGAGACAGATCTTACCATGTTGCCCAGGCTGGTCTAAAATCAGTAGGCTCAGGGAATCCTCTCACCTCTGCCTCCCAAAGTGTTGGACTACAGGCTCACACATCTTTTCAGTAGCACTCTACTTTTAAATATTTGCTGCTTTTATGTTATACTAATTAGACTAGAAGTTTCTCTCTCTCTCTTTTTTTCCTATTTAAAAAATACTTGTAATTCCAGTGAGGATGTCACTGCACTCCAGCCTGGGCAACAGAGTGAGACTTCGACTCAAAACAAACAAACAAAAAACAACAACAAAAAAACCCCCCAAAAATCTGTGGCCATCTTACTGTAGGGGAAAGGAAGTTTTATCATTAAAACTGATGTTAAGGCTCGGTCTGTAATCCCAGCACTCTGGGAGGCCGAGGCAAGAATATTGCCTCAGCCTGCAGGTTTAAGACCAGCTTGGGCAACTTGGTGAGACCTTGTCTCTACAATAAATCACAAAACCTAGCCAGATATGGTAGCTTGCGTCTGTAATTCCAGCTACTTGGCAGGGTGAAGCGGAAGGATCGCCTAAGTTCAGCCTGAGTGACAAGAGTGAGACTCCAACTCCAAAACAAACAAACAAAAAACTGGTGTTAATCTCACCAGTTGGCGGCCATGAAGCCATTTTCTTGCTTAATTATGTTAGTTTCAAAATCCTAGTTGATTTCTGGACTTTGGATGTGACTACTAATCTGTATTTTCAAGATACCGGAAACTGGCATTGAAGTGGCATCCAGACAAAAATCCTGAAAATAAAGAAGAAGCAGAGAGAAAATTCAAACAAGTAGCTGAGGCATACGAGGTGTTATCAGATGGTAAGTAACACTGAACTGGTGAAGGCTTCGAGTAGGGATTAGAATGAGGAGCCGGTTTGGGGATCTTCCTTAGGGCTTGCCAAATATAGACACATGTGACTCATTTTGATGCCAACTGGATTTTGGGCCTACTGAGAAAGGTTTTTGGTTTTCTGTTGAAGATTTGAATTGTTATAGTCAACTGTATGCTGAGAGGCACCTGGGTTTCTAGACATTTCTCTGAGGATGCTTGTTTTTAAACCAATACCTTATATTTGTGGTCTGAGGAACCAAGGTAGAGATCAGGTCATAGGACTCTGTTTTGACCACTGCATGTGGTGGTGGTTTCCCCTCATGTTGTATGTGGTCATTCTGACCTTTCTCATTCCTATTGACTTAAACAGTACCTTGTTGATGGGGTGTGTTTTACTACTTGTGAGGACTTATTTAGTTTCAGGAAAGAGGGAATTCAACATACATCTCAGATTTAGACTTAAAACTTCATATCTTTCTATCCAGGTTCTTGAGCATAGGTGTTGAATGTTACCGGAGGTCAGATCTATGGTTCATAAGTAGGTGAAAGGTCAGGTAGATGCAGTCAGTGGTTACATGATGAATAAAAGACTGCATGGGTCCAAAGGTGTAGGGGGGACAGTGTCAGAATTGGAAAACTACTTCCAGCATCCTGGGATACTGCAGTGCTGAATGACCTGGGAGGAGCAAAAGCAGAGGCATTTCAAATAGGTAATTAACTGTGCACAGGAAGTAGATACCCCCAAGTGTACATACATATGGTCAGGTGATAGGTCACTATTTTAAAACGTTTTTTAGAAGGAACCCAATGTAAACACTGCCAGGATTGGGTGCCAATGCAACCATTGTAACCATTTAACAGGTAGCAGTGCCTTGATTTCTCTATTGACACTGTGTGCTACCCCCTTCATTTTAAAGGAAATTGCAGACATTTCATAAGCGTGAAAAGACATGAATCACTGATTTGAAATCTTTTTGAAATGTGCCTGTGAGCTGGGCTCGGTGGCTCAGCCTGTAATCCCAGCGCTTTGGGAGGCTGAGGTGAGTGGATTGCCCGAGCCCGCGGGTTCGAGACCTGCTTGGGCAACTTGGCGAGACCTCATCTCTACAATAAATCAAAAATTAGCCGGGGGTGGTAGCACGCACCTGTAATTCCAGCTTCTCAGAAGGCTGAGGCGGACGGATCGCCAGAGCCCAGCAGGTCGAGGCTGCAGTGGCCGGGAGTGGCCACTGCACTCCACAGTCTGGGCAATAGAGTGAGACTCCAACTCAAAAAAAAAAAAAAAAGAAAGAAAGGTGCATGTGAGGTCTTAAACTGTCGAGCTTAAACTGGTTTTTTTTTGTTTTTTGTTTTTTTTTTAGGAAAAGACATGGGGTCTCACTGTGTTGCTTAGGCAGGGCTTGAACTTCTGGTCCCAAGTGATCTTCCTGTCTCAGCCTTCCAAGTAGTTGGGACTGCAGGTGTAAAAGACAACCTCACTAGGTTTTTTCCCATCAGATTTTTAATTTCAGTTTCAGTAGGCTTCCATCATGTTTTTGAAATTAATTGATACTGAAGACCATAGGTCTCAGTGTTACCATCTTGTCCTTACTGTTTGCATGCAAATTCAGTATGCACAGATGTATGGGTTTCACATACCAGTAACATTAGAAAAAGTGAGGATTAAAACGAAGATTGATATTTGGCAGAAAGAGCACCTTTAATACAATAAAAAGTCTCTTGTTTGGTTTTTGAGGGAGTTTATTTTTCATGTCCCCTTAGGCAGTCTCCATTTCCAACTGGCATTACCTTCAAGGTACCTCTAGGTACCTTTAGGATGCTGGTTGCCTAAAATTGGTAGTAAGTGGCTTGCTTCTAAACTTGTTTTCCCACTTTGTGGAATATAAGATTTATGGGGCAATATTGATGGTATCATGTCAGGAGTACCTATGTCTGTAAACAGGGCTACTTAGTAGTTCTTTTTGTTTTTTGTTTTAAGAAAAATATAGTAAAACTGTCAGTGGACAACAGTATACCATCATCAAGTCTTATATTCAGCTGTTCCCTTTCCAGGGCAACTGAGTCTGTAGGGTTTGGGATTGGCACTTTTCTGGGTTTTAGCATATCTACTTTCCACTCCTCATCTAGAGACTCTAAAAAATAAAATGAAATAAATATAAAATTAAGAAAAATACTTATTTATTTATTTATTTATTGCTTGTAAAAGTTCAAACGACTTAAACATTTTTCCAAATTATTTTTCAGGTACATAAGGTTTGCCTTTTTTTCCCATTTCAAAATTAAAACAAAATTTTTTTTTGAGTTGAGTATCACTTGGTCGCCCAGACTGGAGTGCAGTGGCCGCTCCGGCCACCGCAGCCTCACCTGCTGGGCTCCGGCGATCCTTCTGCCTCAGGCTTCCGAATAGCCGGAATTACAAGCATGCAGTACCATGCCCAGCTGCTTTTTAAAAAAATTTATTTATTGTAGAGATGAGGTCTTGCTGCCCAGGCGGGTCTCGAACCCGCGGGCTCAGGCAATCCACTCACCTCAGCCTCCCACAGACTGAGCCACCGAGCCCGGCTTCCCATTTTGTTTTATGTATTTATTTATTTTTTGAGTTGGCATCTCACTCTGTCGCCCAGACTGGAGTGCCGTGGCACGCTCCTGGGCACCGTAGCCTCGACCTGCTAGACTCAGGTGATCCTTCTGCCTCAGTCTTCCAAGTAGCTGGAACTACAGGCATGGACCACCATGCCCAGCTTATTTTTTTATTGTAGAGATTAGGTCTCACCAAGTTGCCCGGGCTGGTCTGAATCCTGTGGGCTCTGGCAGTTCTTTCACCCTGGCTTCCAAAGTGCTGGGAATACAGGCTTGAGCTACTGCTCCCGGCCCCCCTTTTGTTTGAAAGTAAGGATGGCCTACTGTCTTGAAATTTAATTTAAATGTTAAAAACTGATTATACCTTAACCTATTGCATTTTAAGGATTTGAAAGGGACTTGGCCTTACTGACTTTTAAAAAATTTATTTTTAGCTAAAAAACGGGACATCTATGACAAATATGGCAAAGAAGGATTAAATGGTGGAGGAGGTATGTAAATAAGATTTTTCTTTGGAGATAGAAGGTCTTGACAAATTAGTTGAGCTTGTTTCTGTATTATAAATTATGAGTTTCTTGGTCATAGTAAGTGTGATAGGAAATATAGATGCAGCCTAGCAGTTGGGCTGAGTTGAGGTAGTAAGGAAAAATGCATCACATTTAAAAAATTATTAAAAATCTTTTGTGAGTCTACAAGGTTTATGTTAATGTACTTTGTGTAGATAGGAAATAATTTGAAGCCATACTGTAATATATTGTGGGCTTACATCCTGTGTATCAATACTTGATATCCTGTCAGACTGTCCTAAGGGTGTCAAGAGCAACTTCTGCTGGTCGGCCAAAATAATTGCCTCAGGCGGGACCTGGATGTGTTTGTTGGTCACTAAAGGTCTCATGGGGACTGGCTTTCAGCCTTGGGAAATTACTGCTTTCAACCCACTGTGGCCAATTAGGCCACGCTGAGTGACTGCGAGTATTCTTGGTTTTCATAAACCTTCATAAAAAGTAATGAAAATATGTAATTATGTGCTGATGACAGATTTAGATATGTTGAAAAGTAATGTCAAAGGGCCACTACTGTGTCCTGTATGGATGATAGGCCCATTTGTGTCAACTCTGGCCACAAACTTTCAGGGCTCATGTTTTGACTTTTAGAGAACCCCAGGTTTATGAAATATTTTTTGTTTTTTTAGGGTCATGATTTATGTAATCTTATGTAAAATAATAATTGTTTGCCTATAAAACACCAAAATTCATAAGTTAAAAGCTGTGCTGTGTTTGTGTAGGTGGAAGTCATTTTGACAGTCCGTTTGAGTTTGGCTTCACATTCCGTAACCCAGAAGATGTCTTCAGGGAATTTTTTGGTGGAGCGGACCCATTTTCTTTTGACTTCTTCGGTAAGTTAGTCACCCGAGTCATTGCCTTGGTGGGTGTGGTATATCGAAGGCCATGTGAGGGTGGATAATGTTGTTTCTGTTTAATGTTAATATTTGGTCATGAAACCTGATATTGAAAATAGCATAGGGAACTGTAAAACCTTTCTCTTCTCATTTTGAAGATTTTTGTGAATTTGAACACTAAAGTAAGATTTTTAATGTATTCTTTTTTTCCACTGTCTGTATGTAGCCCCAGTTAACTTGCTTTTGCCCTCTCAGGTCAGACTGGTGAGGACATGGAAGCTGGGGACTTGGAAAGTGTTGTTTCCTGTTGAACACCAATTTCTGTGTGAAGTTGTCATGTAATATTCCTATTAAAATCGTTAGGTATCATAGGTACTGTTCATAGGACATTTTGTCTGTAAACCTGCCTTTTCTGTTTTTCTAATTGTGGTATGTTACAGCTATCAAACTCACAGTTTAAGAAAGGACACCTAGTCGGGCTCGGTGGCTCAGTCTGTAATCCCGCGCCTTTGGGAGGCTGAGGTGAGTGGATTGCCTGAGCCCGCGGGTTCGAGACCCGCCTGGGCAGCGAGACCTCATCTCTACGATAAATCAAAAAATCAGCCGGGCGTGGTGGCGCATGCTTGTAATTCCGGCTACTCGGAAGGCTGAGGCGGAAGGATCGCTGGAGCCCAGCAGGTCGAGGCTGCGGTGGCCGGGAGCGGCCACTGCACTCCATCCAGTCTGGGCGACAGAGTGAGACTCCAACTCGAATAAAAAAAGGACACCTTAGGACAAGGCAGCAGAAGTATTCTTGAAGGAGAGAACAGTGTTGTTCTAGCTGCTGTTTGTAGTGGGCATGATTTTTCTTATCAATTGCATCTCTTAGCTCTGATTCCTGATCCTAGGCTTTTGTGTGTGTGTTGGACACAGGTGGTGTCAGGCACTCTTGTTAGCTGTCTGCTATTAGAACCTTTCAACCACTGGGCTGTCTGCTTGATGTGCTGGGTGACTTGAGAGGTCAGGATTAAATGTGTTCTGCTGCGGCCGGTTTTGTCTTTTGACTGTTGAGGGGGAAACACATCCTGTGTTTACCTCCATCATTGCCTGGAGCATGGTTGAAGAGACTAAACACCACCTGCAACCCCTCCAAGGAGGGAAAAAAGAACAGTTGTGTCTACAAATAACACAGGGGAGAAAGTGGAACCCCTGCTGGTCATAGGCATGAAGAGGAATAATTCTCCATCATATCTGGTAGGTATTGGACCTTTTATGTATGTGGTGCATTTCTTCGGTTTGTCTGTATTGGGGGATTTTCTGAGATTGTCCTTATTCAGTATTATGGCATGGCTGACTGCAGGGCATCTTATTGAGGGAGGAAAGAACAGCTAGGGCAGGCCCACAAGCATTTTATCCAACTGGTGGAAAGCTGAAGCTAAGCAGGGATGTTCAGTGTGGGGAAGGGAAACTGGTCTGTTCATAGGTGAAGACTTGTTTTTATCATGACTGCTACAATAAACAGAAATGTAACCTGAGAAAGAACCCTCCTCATATCCTTTATTAGTTGACCCTCATGGGGAAGAAGTCTTACTCTAAGAAATAATTTACTGATCCCCTGTCCTAAAAAGACCTTTTTATCTCATTTTCACCTTTAGCAGATTCCACATTTGTTTTGGGGGCAGGACAGTATTGGAGTTGAAATCCTGTGTTCTGATCCTGGTGGCTAAGTGAGGAAGAGAGCCTATTCTTCTGACACCAAGGACTCCTGGCTTAGGGTATATAAGATGTGAAATAGACTCATTTCTGAGTCTGAGGCGAGGTGTCTTAAACATGCTTTATGTTACGGAATTTTTTTTTTGAGTTGTGGTCTTACTCAGTTATCCAGTCTGGAATGCAGTGGTGTGATCATGGCTTAACGCTATGCTGCCGTGACCTCCTCAGCCTCCTTAGTAGCTGGGACTACAGGCGCGTGCCTATCACACTAATTTGTTGTTGTTGTTGTTATTAGAGATGAGGTCTCAACTGTGTTATCTAGGCTGGTCTCAAATTCCTAGGATCAAGCAGTCCTCCCACTGTGGCTTCTCAAAGTGTTGGGATTACAGGCGTGAGCCACCATGCTCAGCCAATTTTATTTTATTTTTATTTGTTTATTTATTTATTTTTTGAGTTGGAGTCTCACTCTGTCGCCCAGATGGGAGTGCAGTGGCCGCTCCCGGCCACCGCAGCCTCGACCTGCTGAGCTCCGGCGATCCTTCCAATTCAGCCTTCCGAGTAGCCGGAATTACAGGCATGTGCTACCATGCCCGGCTGATTTTTTTAGATTTATTGTAGAGATGAGGTCTTGCTGCCTAGGCGGGTCTCGAACCCGCAGGCTTAGGCAATCCACTCACCTCAGCCTCCCAAAGGCGCCGGATTACAGGCTGAGCCACCGAGCCCGGCTGCTCGGCCAATTTTAAATAATTAAATTAAAAGGGAGAAGGGTCCTTTTGTGGCTGAAATTTTTAAGCTAATTTTTGTTTTTCTTGTAGAAAAATAATCTGACATGCCAGGGTGCTTCATTCAAAATGATTTTTTTAAACTTTTTTTTCCTATAGTAAAGGTATTTAATTAGATTTGAATAAGCGAGTTTTTGCCCACTAGTCCAAGGATATAGATAGATACTAGTGTTACTGAAATGCCACACTATTAGATACTTCATTTTAGGTGTAAGTGCTCACATTTTAGTAATAGACAGACTGGATTTTCCGTTATTAGTTTGGCAGTGATACTTGTCCAATCCATTCTTGTAGGTATTCTAGATGACTTCCATTTTCAGGCTGTCAGGATTTACACGCAGGAACAGAAGCTGCTCCATGACTACTACATGTATGAAGTCTTTGTGCAGCCTGCAGGCGGTATGTTTAGTGCAGATTGGAGCGAATGCAGGGCTGGGGGATTTCTGCTTTTTTAATGATATAGTAGATGAATCATGTTTACTAAACTTTGTACATTTTTGGTAGCACATTTTTTACATGACCACCTTTTTTCCTGTGCTTCAAAAAGTAGTTCAAAATCTGTTGTAAGAGATTTCTGAGCTGCGCTTAGCATTTCTCAGAATGCAGAACCCCTTCCAGACTTCAGACCTCCCTCCCCAGATGACAGGTGGAGACTCAGAGGACTGGGGAATGATTGAGGGTATTGGACATACTGTAAGCAAGTTCTGAGCATGAGCACCACGTGAAGCATGGCTGTCACTTTGGCCTGAGAGCCTTGGACCTGGGATCCTGCAGATGTTGAACCCGTCCTTAATAGCAGAAACCCTTCTAGAAGAGGTAGTAGTAGAAGCTGGTTCTTTTTTTTTTTTTTTGAGTTGGAGTCTCACTCCATCGCCCAGACTGGAGTACAGTGACACACTCCTGGCCACTGCAACCTCAACCTGCTGAGCTCCAGTGATCTTCCTGCCTCAGTCTTCCAAGTAGCCGGAACTATAGGCGCATGCTACCACGCCTGGCTAATTTTTGATTTATTGTAGAGATGAGGTCTCGCCAAGTTGCCTGGGCTGGTCTCGAACCCGCGAGTTCAGGTAATTGGCTTGCCTTGGCCTTCCAAAGCACTGGGATTACAGGCTGAGCTACCGAGCCAGCCAGAAGCTGATTTTAAAACCACTTGACTCTGAAGTGTGGGGGGAGGTGTAGTCAAACCTTTTGAAGCTAGTAGACAGTTAAAATTTTTCCCAGAATATAGAGCACATGAAAAAGTTAACTAATAGAGATTGTGCTAATTTTAGTCCTTTTATTTGCTTATCACTACAGGACGTCATTACTCAGTGAAATGATGTTCTGAGATAGAAACATATCTTATACTGTATTTGGGTTCCTTTAGTCATAGCAAGAATTACTGTTTGGGAGAAGTGTCAATCAAATTTAGCATTTTCATTTCAGTATTTCTACTTTGGAAAGCCAAAATCAACCTCTAAAACTCCTTCCAGAGAGCTCTTTTGTTTTAGCACTTGAGCTTTTCATTTGTAAAGCATCACTCTTGTAAGTTTTTGTGAATGAAACAATTCACGCAGCACTGGAGAAATACTGAGTGGTGTAGATCCAAGAACAGCAGACTTTTGGTTGGGAAGAGCAGTTGTCTTGAGAGTAATAGCCACATTTTCTGAGTCTTGATTAAATGATTGTAGTGAGTCAGTCATTTACTCTCTCAGGGTTCGAGGAAGTGGCCAGTGAGGACTGGGAGCCTAGTGAGGAGTTAGACCTGCCCAGTGCTGAGGAGGCAGCAGAAGACAGCTTGAGTGAGGAGAACAGTGAGGCCCTGGATGTGATCTCCAGCGAGGACCTGGACCTCTTCAGTGACGACGAGCTGAGTGAAGGCTGGAGCTGGTGCCAGGGAGAGGCTGTCAGCGAGGAGCTAGAGCCCATATCCAGTGAGGACGAGGCCAGCCCTGGGGATTTGCTCAGCGACGAGTGTGAGGAGCTGCTGAGTGAGGAGGAGCATGGCGGGCTGGAGCTGGGAGCGTGCCTCATCCTGCAATAAATGGTCAAAGGAGCTGCCTGGATCTCTTTATATAGAATGGTGGATCTAGAATAAAAGTTTTTCTTAGTGTCTTGATGGCGTCCCTGGCCAGGGTAGCTGCCTTGGAGATAGAGCTGAAGAAGCAGAAAGGTGTGTGGCAGCCCTGGAGCACCTAAGACTCAGCTTCTAGTCCGGGAGGCTGCAGTCAAAGATGCAGATGTGGGCAGGGCGACCCCTTCTGAGGCTGGAGGAATTCTGCTCCAGGCCTCCCCAGCTGCTCTCTCCTTTTGCTTATGGGTGGATTTCTCCACGTGTCTTGACATCATCTCCCCTCTATACACATCCCTGTGCCCATATTTTTCCTTTTTATAATTCTTTTTTTTTTTTGAGTTGGAGTCTCACTCTGTCGCCCAGACTGGAGTGCAGTGGCCGCTCTCAGCCACCGCAGCCTCGACCTGCTGGGCTCTGGCGATCCTTCCGCCTCAGCCTTCCAAGTAGCTGGAATTACAGGCACGCGCTAC